ACACAGAGCATAACAAGCAGTCACTGATTTCGAGTGGGGAAGACAGACACATCAATAAGTCCTCTCAATGTGCTGTGATTAACCGTTGCCATAAAATTAAAAGCACAGGAAACAGGAGGGAGTCCTAAATGAAGGGCCTGTCTGGGGGATTCCGGAAAGACCTTCAGAGGAGAAAGTTGACTACAGTCTTGACAGAGCATTAGATGCTTCTGAGGCTACTACAAGGCACGAGCAGAGGCCCAGGAGGGCGAACATAGATGGGACACATGGAGAAAGGTTTAACCGAGGGAATGTGGACGGAAAGAGAGCACGGGACTTCCAGGGGGCAATGGGATTAGGCCAAAGAGGGTCTCCATGGCCTGCTAAGAGTGGACACAGACCAGAATCGATAACAGGGGCCTACTGGGCCCTAATACACAGCATCAGCACCATCAGAGCTGGGCAACGGGCAGAGCGATGGAGGACTGAACTTCTGTCGATCTCAGCACCCATCTCAGGTGGCTCACAGTTGCCTGTAACTTTAATTCCCAGAGTTCCCACATCCTGTCTGGCCTACTGGGCACCCCTAAGGATGTGTACATATGCACACACAGACACAGACATACAATAATTTAAAAATGTTTTAAAATTAAATCAAGAAGTAGGGCTGGAGAAATGGCTCAGAGGCTAAGAGCATTGCCTACTCTTCCAAAGGTCCTGAGTTCAATTCCCAGCAACCACATGGTGGCTCACAACCATCTGTAATGAGGTCTCGTGCCCTCTTCTGGCCTGCAGGCATACACACAGAATATTGTATACATAATAAATAAATATTAAAAAAAATAAATCAAGAAGTGAGTAAACTGGATGGGACTCTCACCCTAGAGCAAGAACAAGACAGAATCAAGACTCTCCTGTGATCCACTAATGATGTCACAAGACTCTTCTCCAAAGGGTCACAGTCTTAATAGAGTTTCTCTAAAACAGTGACGGAAAGACCATGGTGCAGTAAATCAGAAATGGCAATCACAGCTAATGATGCACAACCTTATCTGGAAATCCAGACTCAAGACAGCTTGGGTACGTCTTATTCCTGGGTTTAACTATTTCCAATCACACAGGCACCAAAGTCAAAGCCCTGGCATTTCCAGAAAGGTCTAAGACATCCGTAAGACCTGTGAGGAAAGGGATGATTGACACCACGGTCGGGCTGTCTGTCACCTCTCACCTAGTCATCTGCAGGAAGTCCCAGTTCTGACACCTCTTTCAGACTCCGTATACTTCCCTATCCACTCTGATTCTCTGCGAGGAAAGCACAGCAGCTCCTGACTGTGTCTAAAGATCTCCCAACCAGCACTTGAAACCTGCAGCTTCTTGTCCTTTTTCTGCCCCCAGAGGAGCTGTCGCCCCTCTCCGAGCCTCCACTCTCGGGCTTCTCTTGCCACCCACGGGACCTTCAACTTTTCTCCATGCACGGTTCTTTTCTGGAGAGTCAAAGAATGAAATGCCAACAGGTTCACCATCCCTTCAAGACTACGGCTAGCTACTGTTGTTGACTGAACTCTTGTGAAGAAAATAGGATCAGAAGTTAACTGGCGGAGGGGCTGTGGTCAAGAGAGAAGGGTGTGCCGAGTACTGTATGATAAAGTGTAGTCTCTGACAATCCAAGCGCACACACAGCTCTGTCTGCCTTACAGGTTCCCAGGAGACTCTTCATGTCTCCTTGCCCAATCGACTTCACTATTCTCTGTACTGGCTCCTTTCTCCTTTGTGTGACTCAGGCCCTAGACCCATGGAAACCACACTGGCAAGAGCCCACAGGGACCATACCTCCTCAAGTGTCTTTGCATGCCTCGGAGACCGAAGGCTCCCACAATTAAATTTTCACAAGTGTGGGCCTGCCAACTGGCCACTAAATGCTAGCTTGACTCAGCAGCTCCATTTCCCTTCCACGGTTCAGGCTGCAGAAGAGAAAACAGCTTTAGATTTTATCTCATTGTTGTTCTCTTCCTTGGTCCTGCTGGGCCACATGTAAGACTTCCACGATGCTTTTTATCCAGTTAGCAGGACAGCTTTGGGTTTGGAGACTCCAAAGAAAACATAAACAAACACATCCTTGAGGTAGCCAGACATGCTTCTGTATGTAAAAATGCACTTGGCCATATGTGTGTGTGTAGAGGCCCGAGGTCCATGCTGGGTATCTTCCTATTGCTCTCCACATTATTCTTTGGAGATAGGGTCTCTCACTGAAGCTGAAGTCTGCCCCCGCTCCTCGATGCCAAGATCATGGAGGTATATACATCACCAGCTCCGGCTTTGGTGTGGGTGCTGAGGACCCAAGCAGTTCTTCATGCTCATTCAGGAAGCACTGAACTCACTGAGCAATCCTCGCTACAAGGCTTTCACACGCTTCTTAAGTTTGTGGGAGGCTTTAGCTCCCACTTTCATGTGGATAAACACACTCTTCACACTAGGCAGGGTAACCCAAACATGGGATCCCCGAAGGTTACTACCTCGGTAAGACTCTGAGAGCCTGCTGTCCTGGCTTCCTTGGAGACACGCCCAACCCAGAACATACTCTACAAACTCAGACTCGAGCTGTGAAAAGCTACATTCATCATTTTGCTTCTCCAGCCTCCATCTGACAGAGGCCATACTGCCTAATGCACCATATTCAATGACTCCAAACCCCTCAAGGCTCCACTTGGATTTACTATACCTACTTAAGGAACACAGTCACTGTCAAAGGTCAAAGCTCTCTGGGGCTAGAACCTAAGTCCAATGCCCTTGAGATACCAAATGCAAGCTCTAAACAGAGCCTTCCAGCTTCTGCTTAATTCATTATGACTTTTTAGGTACTCAGCAGGATGGATCTCACACACTCAGGATCCTGTTTGCTGTGAAAATAGACCTGACTGAGTTTGCTTATCCAGTAAATGAATAAGGGAAACTTGATCAATACAGAAAAATTTTCTGGTACTCGTCAAGGGAATTTAGACAAGAACGGCCTTGCTGTTCCAATGGTGGTGCAGGAGCACAGGGGCAGGGGAGAGATTCTGGAGTAGGCCCAGTCTTCCTTCAGTACTGCAGACTGGAGAACTGGAGACCACTTACTCCAACTGCCTCAGTGTATCAAGATGAAAGACACAGTATGGGACAGGAATCTGTACAAAGCCCCATGCATAGCTCACGGAAATTAAAATCAAAATAGCCCTTATTTATGGGATGAGTCATACCCTTCCAGCCATCAGTGGGAAGTAATGTTCTCATGACAGGAAGCAGGTAAGAGGTACCTGATCAGTTACACCCCATCTTAGCTCCATCACACCTGTTTCCTTAAAAGCACACTGTCCATGCAATTCTCTCTCTCATGCTACTTAAGACACTGTCCTTGTGGGACAGAGAAAAACGGTCAGGATTTAGAGAAAATCACCAGAAATTTCAAGAGAACACTAGTCTCGGAAACCAACTTGTAGCCTCATATCTTACTCCAAATATGCGCGCGCGCGCATGCATACACACACACACACACACACACACACACACACACACACACACGGTAGGAGAGAGGAAGGGAGAGATATAAACCAGAAGACCAAAGAGAAAATCGTGTGCAGAAGGGCACCTCAAGCTCCATGTTTCCATGAAGGACCTATGCAGGCAGATCTTGCTAAAATTCAGATTCTGATTCAATTGTTTGGATGGGACATGAGATTCTAACTTCCTCATTAAGGAGCCCAGTCTGTGCCAATAGCACGACAGATGAAAAATAAAAACCATCTTACAATCAAACAAATACGGTTTTGAATTTCCTTACATTCATGTACTTTGTGATCACATGGTAGTTTCCCACTATCCCTGTGCCTCAACCTGCTTATCTACAGACCGGAAGTAACGCCTAAAATGCACGTGATGGTGTGAGTTAGTGACAAGGGTCTCCTGACCCAACGCTTGGCTCATAGTAAGGCTCAGCAAATGTCGGCAGCTGCCTCTATGATTCACAAGGATCAGGATGACAGCTGGCTCACTGCCAAAACCACAGCAGCGAGACCACAGGAACAGTCCAGTGGATATTCGGCCAATGAGTGCACATCCGCACACACAATAGCGATATGTACATCCTGCCCCGGTTCTGTGTCTTTTCACATAAAAGCTTAAGGTGTCTAAAATACCAGGAGATTCTTATCAACAGAATCACAGAATCAGATTCAACACTAACCATCGTGTTTAACCAGCAAGACGTGTAATTTGCGGTGGTTATACATATTTGAGAAATGTCTTAACTGTAAGTAAGTAAAGACGGCACCAGCCTGGAATCTGTATTTCATTAACAGAAATTACTGCCTTCCCTATTATATGTGGGCTGTCTCGATGCAGATGTTAAGAAAAAAGAAAAAAAAACCCTTAATTCTCAAACTTTAGTTCACTTAAAAATCAAATTCAGAACTGCAAAGAAAGTCCAAACAAGCCAAGGGTAAAAAGACTAAATTTTCAAAGGCCGTATTGGGCAGAGGTATAGTCTCTTCTCACGTATGCATGCTCAGGACAAACAAGAAAGAGAAGAAATACGACCAAATGGCAGAATGTTAGCTCTCAAATCAAAGGTAGTCCATCTACCCACAGTTCCTCCACAGTTTACGATAATCTCCACTGCTTCCTGAAGACAGTGGCATCCTGTGGGCAAGTCCCACCCCATAGCGACACTGTTTAAGGAATGCAGCAGGAAGAATACAACCGCCACCTATGGACAGAAGCAGTGCTCCCTTGGCCACAAGTCGGCCAATCACATTCCCAGTCACCTCCCTCCAGGCGCTCCCAAACCACCACACCACTTCATTGAGAACTACTCTCTGGTCACAGGGGCACCGCTAGGCATTCCAGCTCCTCCTCATCGTCACCCTACCTCCACTTTCCCAGAAACGGTCCCCGTCCTCTGCAGGATGTGAGCGCTGAAGACAAGGCAAGCCAGCAGACTCAGGCTGGCAAAGGCACTGCAGAGAAGTATCTATCAATCACCTTACCTGATATGAACGGGACTGCCCGGAATATATCTGACAACCTGCTGTTAACCGGCTCATACGGGGAATCTTCCAGGAGATCATTTCCTAGAAATGACAGGAAGATTAGGCTCAGCTCTGGAAAACGGGCATATTTCAAACCATGCCTCACTGCTCTGTGGGAACCCCTGATCATGTTATGATTGTGTACCGAGAAGATGCTGAAAGGCTTCACATGCATGTTTGGGGATGTGATTATTTCTTTTCCTCTGTCTTTGTTGTCCTTGCTCTCTCCAGAGTGCCCTGCAAATACTGGAGTACAACCCAGCCGGAGCTTGCCAGAAAACTCTCCCACTCTTGCAAAGGAATTGAAATCTGAGAGGAAAGAGCTAGTGACGTCACAAACTTTGCTTGCCTACAGGAACCAATGGAAGAACGATGACCCGGGAGAGGCCCCTGCAAACCCAGGCATGTGGCCTGCAAGCAAGCACACTGGCTGTTTCTAAGATCATCCCCGGAAACAGGCTTTCATGACTAGGTTTTAGAAGTGGCAGCTGGCAGTCTAAGCCTCTGTATTACAAATGTTCAGGGAGTCTGAGGGAAGAATGAAGGTAAGGGATCCGTGTGGTCCATTTACAGGCTCCCTAAGTCCCACTGGAATGGCAGTTGTGGCTGCTACTCGTGAGCTAGCCACGGTTAAACCTCAGCAGCTGGTCCAAAACTCAACTAATCTAAGATGACAAATGGTTTTTCACGCATGCGTTTCAACCTGTGTGCGGGGGTGAAGACAGAGTTCGCAGGTTCTGCAATACTTCATCTCATGTCATAAGGAAAGAAGGGAGGGAAATCTCCAGGCAAAATGCAGGCAAAGCTTTTGCATGATTACTCTCTAAAGCCAGTGAAAGCCCCAGGGCTGGCAGAGAAGTGGGTTCCTTAGGTAGCATTTAAGGGGGTCCCCAATCTGATGTTCTAACTAGGTTTCAGAAAGGTCAGTGGGATCCCAAGGGTGCCCCCAGCCCCTTGTGGATCTGCCAACAATACTGCTCAGCTGCAGAAAACACCAGCTGCCCCTGTCCCTAGAGGCCAGTGAAAGGTCCTCATTCCGCAGCTGGGAGAAGGGAGTGGGAGATGAGATCAGCCGGCTTAACCCCAGGACTGGGCAGGCGGACTAAGGTTGCCTCCTGAGTTCCAGAGGAACCGGGGAGTGCTGGTGGGGGCAGCGTACCCTGCAGACTTTGGTACATGCTCCAGTAGATACGCAGACAGTTTTTCTCTTTCTTCATGCCCCGCTTGCAGCGGCAGTTGTAGAGAGACTTTTGCTTCAGGGCCTCCATAGCGTTGCGACATTCATCCTTGGCCTCCAGACCAGATGCCAAACTGAAGTTGGTTTCCTTGCCTGCCACGCACTGCCTTAGCGTGCGGTACTTGGTGCTGCAGGTCTGTTCCTTCAGGCACTGATCACTAGCTTTTACGCAGTCCAGGCGGTCCCCACCACTCACCTCGGCCGACAGCAGCAAATCTACAGGGTGAATGAGAAGAACACTTGATTGACTAGTTAGGAACCCCGATTCCAGGTCGCAGGAGGGGCGGAAGACAGAGGTGCACGCCTGGAGCATGATATAGCTCCACCGTCTTTTCCCACCCCTGGAACTGCTGCCATCATGCTCCCTTCCTGGCCCTCCAAGGAAGGTAGTAACAGCTTCCACTGGCCGCTTTGCCGGAGTTGCTGAGAACCCTGAGAGGCCACAGCGCCCCAAAGCAGAAGCGGTCCTGAACCGCTGACTGCCCCGCCTCCCTGGGCACCTGGGGCTGCAGTCTCCCGGCCAGCCAGTCTGCAGCAGCCCAAGGGCTCTCCGCTGAAAGCTTGGTCGAGCGCTTGGCACCGTCATGAGCTGGGCGAAAGGCAGGCGAGTGGCACAGTCTGCCTCGCGGGTGCGCCGAGACATTATTCCCAGAAAACTTTTGCATTCCAAGTTTGCTCTCTTCCCACCCCAGCGTTTGTCGACCACACTCCACCTGCCAGAGCGCATTTGCTCTGCGAGCTCTTCCCGACTTCCAAGGGAACCAACGCCCTGGGGTTGTTAGTAATAATAACCCAGCCCTTTGGGCATCTGATGGGTTCTAGACTAACACAGCAAAATAAAACCAACCGCGCAGAGCTGCGCTGCCGCCACTCCCCAACCAGGGACCCTTGCACCTCTTCACATCCCAACGAAACATCTTCCACCCAAATCCCACGGCGCAATTCTCGAGTGGCCGCTGCAAGGGACCCTCTTTGAAAGACTCTGGGTGAAAAAAGCCAGCAGCGGCCTCAACTTACCCAGGAGTGGCAGCGCGAAGTACAGAGTGGCCAGAAACATGGTGCCGGCGCGAAGCTGGTCCCCGCCCCCCAAAATCTAAAGCCGCCGCCGCTGGGTCTCGCGGGGAGAGCTCAGCTTGCAGCGATCCCCGGGCGACCGCGCTCCTCTGGCCACTCAAAGTTCAGCTCCATCCAGGGTGAGAGGAAACTCCCCGTTGATCTGCCGCCCACCGCCGCCAGCGACTCAGCTCCGGGTGGGCGCGAGGGCGGGAGGCGGACCCACTTTTAGGGGTTCAGTTCCGACCCAATCTGGAAGAGACAGAGCGCTTTGAAATGAGAGGCCAGAGTGCTGTAGCCTCCCGCTCCCACCTCTATCCCCTCCCCCGTTCCCGCCCTAGGGGGACTTCTCAACGCTACCCCCACTCGGGTCCGAGAGCATCTATTCCGGGCGTGGGGAGACTCCGGAACCGGCGGTTTGGAGCTGGAGAGGTCCGCTAGGGCTTCCAGCGTCCGAAGCCGGAGGCTATCCCGCACAACCCAAGAGACTGAACGCAAGCAAATAAATAAGCATTACTTTCCGAGCAAGCGCCGGAAGCAAGCTGGCGCTGCCCGGAGTCGGAGCCTTCGGCGGCGAAGGCGCCTTAGCCAGCCCCGACTGGACCAAGACCCTGCTCCAGGAAGTTGGCCGCCCTTCCTGGCTCCTGCCCGACCACTAGCTGGCTCGATCGCGAGCGTTCTAGCTCCTCTTCCTCTGGCCCTCTGCATCCCGGCCACCAATCGCCACCTCTGTTGCCGACACCCCCTCCCCAGGGCTAGCTTCTTTTCTCAGGCAGTCCCACAGAAAGAAACTGACATCCTGACTGGAGCTGAAATCTGGCTTCTGTGCCCCTACCCGCCACACATTCTGGGCTCCTTCCCAGACATCGGTGCCTCACACGCACTTGCCCAGTGCCCGAACTCCTGCGCATGCATCCACACCACTGCCCCGGGAGAGCAAGCTAGCCCGCAGCATCTGCACGCCCCAGCAGGTGCAGCCCCGCACCACTAGCGCCCCCCTGGCCCCAAAGTTGAAGGATGCCAGAAAATGGAAAGGGGTGGCTAGAACTGAAGAGGAGGTGGCATGGGTTCTCAAGTGGAGTGAAAAAACTCTAAATGCCACCAACCTGCTCTGAACCGACCCGCGTCCAGCTCCTGCGAATAGCCAGTGTTTATTTATTCTTTGGGGGTCACCCGCCCCCTCTTTCCTTTTCCGGGCTCAATTTCTTGCGCTAGGGGGAAAACGGGATGCCATAATCCGCCAGAGCTAGGAGGATAGAGTTGGCCAGGACGATTTCCGAGCAGACCACCTCACCCCCGCCCTGCCCAGGCTCAGTGCCCGTTAGGGATGTCAGCGGTTATTGGAAGCTGTGGGTGGGTAGCGTGCCCAGATTGGTTTTGGCCAACGGACCCTCAGCCTGCTTCTGCTCCCGGCAGCGCAGAGCCAGCTCCTCCGTGGAGCGCAGCTCCTCTGTCAGCCACAGTAGACTTACAAGCTGACCGGCAGTGAGACCCAAAGCCAACAGGCACACAGGCTTAGGACCCGCAGCGCTACGCAGCAGCGCCGCTGAGACTGCACCCTCCTCCCACCCCTCGCGTCCTTTCAGTGTACAAGGGCTCTTTCTTTAGTGCAAAACAGCAATCCATCCAGACCCTTTTGAACACAAAGTTTTTTTCTCCACGTCATTCGCGGCTGTGACTCAAGACTTGGCAGGATACAGACTCAGTCAGACCTAAGCCCTAAACAGCGGTCTCGAAATACACCCACGGTCGATCCACGCCATTGTGAGCTTACACACCTCTCTCCCCCAGCTCTGACAGCGAGACAAAGCAAAGCCCCCAGCCCACTGCACTAAAGGCTAGACAGACCCAGCTTTAGGTAATTTATAAGGTGACCTCCATCTTGACTGTTTCAAGAGTAAATTACTTTTTAAAAGCATTATTTAAGCGGAACACATCCATAGTCCCCCACCCCAACTTCAAGGGTCGCTCCAGAGATACAGCTGAAAGTGATACCCGCTGTCCCTTAGCGTTCCAGAGATCTGTCTAGAGTACAGTCCGCAGTGGTGGGTGACCGACCAGCTTGCTGCTCGGGGCTTGTATTGGAGATCTTTTCTGTGTCCAAGTTCATCTCTCAGCAAAACCGAGTTTGAATCAAATCTATGAGCCCAGCTGTCAAATCTGCAAATCCATCACCCCAGACAATGGGCCGCCAACGAGGACAGACAAGAAACGCTCTTTTTGATCCAGGGGGTTAATTGAAAAGGGCATAGTCTTTAGTTTAAGTTTGAGACTGGGGTGTAAGGGCAGGGAAAAGAGGAGGAGGGACGGGTCGCTCTCCATTCAAGTACACACTAGCCAGGCGTGCCCTTCAGCTGTGGCCGCTGCTAGTGTGGCGCTGTTCATTGTTTGGAGTCCTCAAAAGGGTGTCTGTGCCTTAGTGAGGGACCCAAGCCCAGGGGACATCCCCCCAGCCCTGGCTCCTCCTCTGCTTCCCACGTGTTCCTCAGGGGCAGGTATGAAGTGGCTGGTGCCTTCACCAGGAATCCCTCCCCTCAGCATCACATTCAATCACACCAGACACAGATCTCCAGTTCAATGTATCAGTTTACACTTGGTAGTTGAGTAAACAAAGAAAGCATATGTCACATTTTCGCGACAGATGGTTCAATCCAAGGGCTACTTAAGTTTATTTCTCTAGCGATAGAAGTTTGCAGTGTGGACCACCGCAGGGAGATGTAATTGAGCCTTCCAATCAGTGTGTCTGCTGACGGAAGCTTATTTTTCCATATTTTCACACCGGGGCAAAAAATGCCAGGGAGGTGAGAAGAATTATCTGAAGACTTTCATGGACGCTCAAAACATAAAATCCTTTTTCCTTGTCCTATTTCAAAAGTATATGGGAAGGTCTTTCTCGGTCAAGTCATTGCTTGTCTTTGGGGACCACTTGTGGTGGTTGAAGAACATTTAAGTTTCAACTATGTCTTTTCCAAATATTCTTGGTTGTTCTACTTACTCTACGCAAGTTTTAAAATTCTACTTTTAACAGAAAGGAGGCTTGTCTAAAAGTTCCCCAAATGTAGGATAGAGGACTTCTTTGAAAGTAGTTACGGCTTCAAGAATATTTCAGGATCCTTCCTCACTCTAGCCTTTAATAAATGATAAATATTGACATGATAAGATAGACCTTTGGGGAAGGTTTGGAGGGGATTATTAATTTTATTTTTATTGTGCGTGTGTGCATTCCCAGCCATGAGTCCC